CAGATCAACGAAATCAATGCACAGCATGTTGTATACATCAAAGGATCTGTTCCCAAAAGAAGATAGAACAAATATTATCCACAAAATCGGTTGCGAAAATTGTTCACAACACTGTGTTGCCCAGTTTAAATTCTGACGACTCAAAGAATTTCGAACGGTAAAAGCAGTAAACCTACATGATGCCTCCAACCAGGCTTTCAATGCATATAGATAATCACCACTAAAAAATTGACTAGAAGAATGTGGAAATCCTCCAAAGAGCAGGTTTGAAAGCTGCAAGAAAATTTCTAGAAGCATGGCATTGCAAAGAAAAGTCAATCAACAGATATTTGGATACGGAATCAGTCTATAATATAATTAGGAAAGGACAGATTTACCAAATAAATCAGTGACAAACCGCACAATTTCATTCTAACAAAGATTCTCTATTAGCGTGACAGAGTTAAATTTAAGGTCAACTTACAACTGGACAACACCCAAAGTCAATAAAAACACTATCTAAACATTCACGCAAAATTCAAATATGCTTCACTTCTTCATGAAGTTAGTGCTGAGGGTATCATCAAACCTGTTGATGAAACATCCACGATAAAAAATATCAGTGCTTAGAGAAAACAGAACCATTGTCATCCTCATTTCGGGCTACAAATCTTTTCCATAATTTCACACTGCAAGCTGTTAACAGAAAGCTAACTTGGTCAAAATAGTACCTCTATGCCTTCTTCGAGGTTTATTCAAGACATGTTCGACTAACCTCTTCTCTGTTCTCACTATTCACCCTTCAAACCCTCTCTATAATTCCTGTTAGCTTCTTTCTTCTATGCTCCTATCAACCACATAATACCACACATGAAGGCAGCACTTTCAAATTCTCTTACAATCCAGAGTTTTCGAAGATAATTCTCCTTACACACGCTCCCTATCTATTTGCTCCAAGGTGATTCACATGTCTATTCATCTTAAAAACTGATTAATTAATTGCTGTTCTCACATTCGAGTGGGTTGCATCTTCAAAGTAGCCTGGTGATGTTAAGTCGTAATGTAAATCTATAAAGAACATGCTAGGTGATTTCACTTCTCATTTGGCTTCAGAAAGAGGCCAATAGAGATATTGGGAAACTACAAAACACTAAGAAACAAACATTTGCATACCTTTGAGAATCAAATCTTTGAAAACGAACCCACTTGATTGATGTAACTGCCATTCGTTTCAAGCACCGTTCTCCTGTAGCTGTTTACAAAGAATGTGAATTTTGATGGAATTTCCAAAGTCACTTGCACCACGTTCTACACGTTTGTTAACTAGAATTGAATACTGTAACGTACTGTAGCTTAATCTACTAATTGAACAAATTTCTTGAAATTTTTTTAAGCGCTTTTTTATACTTGTCTCATTGTGCTAGAGGAAGAAGCTTCTCGTGATTCATACCAAGTGAAAATATACAATTACAATATTTGAACCCGTGTGTTATGGGTTCATGGTGGAATATCTAGAAAAGTCAATCGATAGAAAGTCCTGTCGACTTTCTCCTCAGTTAGCTAAATCTTTACTTTTCTGTAAGCCACCCCGATCTCTTAAAAACCTTCAGAATATCACTAGACCTAAAAGTGGTTGTAGAAAAATTTAGGACTGAAACCAGTGGCTTTGACAAATTGCTGAGTGATTTACACATTGCATACTGCAATAAATCCATGAGTTTCATCTACGACTTTCAATTTTAAACATGTAAGAATTTGTACAAGACTTTATCAAAAACATTGACAGAAGAGAATTTGTATAAATACTTTCTGGGAAAATTACCAAAAATGTTTACAACCTATGAAGTGTAAAACTGAGTCAAATCAAATCAGAAGCACTCTCACTTAGATTCGAGTTCTATGTCCAGACGAGAGTCTCTCATGAAGGTGAGACAAAATCTCACTTTGAGACTTTAAATATAGAGTGTGGGAAGGAAGGGCTGGTTTAAATCTGAGTTAGCCGACTATCCAACTATCTTATTTTACCGACGCTGTAAACCAGAACTTTATCCAAGAAGTAATAAAATATCTCAAAAGGAGAAATCAAATCATCACATGGGCACAAGACATAGATTTGAATATTTTGTTAATGACTAACGTAGATTACATCGTTAAGATGAATTAGATCATTCAGGACTGACTGAGATGTATAGTCGACAACTACAAAACAGATACGACGAGCTGAACAGGAAAGAAAAGGTACTCTGGAAGAAATTGACTGATAGTGCTGCATATAATGGTCTGAAGCCTTGAGGATCTTGTCAGCCCTATGTGTATAGACTACCAAAAATATACAGAAAATATTTCATTATTACCAGTACCACCCACAATTTATTCACCGTAACACTAAGTGGATCTTTGGTTGGCTAAAACATTGGAACCTGTTCGCAGCATATACATTAAAAGATTTGTTTTAATACTCGGAAAATCCGAATCATACTAACACGTTGCAAAAGTTCATGGTATCCCTTAGTTCAGCTTCTGT